GTAAGTTGCGCGTTGTCGCTTATGGAGCAGACATTCCCGCTTGTGCTGCTGGTGGAATTCTTGACGATGCTTTTATCTGGCTTTTTGGGTGAAGTGTTGCAAATCTTTACTGGTTTATTTCATATCCAACACTACTTATCTGACTGAATGGTAAACTTTTTCGATGAAGCAAAACTACAAACAAACCCCTATCCCCCCCCCCCCCCCCCCCCCCCCCCCCCCCACCCCGACTCCACCTGAAAGGTGGCACTTGTCCGCTATGTCACTCGAAAGAAAAGCAGAGGAAGACGATTAGGTTTGGATTTAGTGGATAAAAGGAGGTCATATGGAGGAGGGCGGAGACTTGAGCGTGAAATAAGTGGATGCACTCACACGCACGATGATGAAGTCGTCCGATGAGCGCACGTCCTGCGTTATACATGCTTTTTGGGATTCCTGCGGGATTGCTGAAAAATGCTTAGCTAAGTGAATTTGACCTGTGGCAAAAGTGGATGATCATCACATGGAGAGAGTGTTTATGTTGTGGGGACTTGTGTGTTTTGTGGGGACGTGTGTATGGGTGGGAGTATTGTACAACACATGTAGAATGCTGATAAAATCACAAAACAGCGAAAATATGCAGAAGTGAGGCTTATTTTTTTCGATTTGTCTGTCAATTGATCTTGAGACGAATATGAGCCAAAAAGTCAAGCTTTAATTTCCAAGGTGCAGTGCTGCCTTGAGAGACAAATGACTCGATTGTAGATAAATGCTTTTTTTTTTTTTTTTTGCTCTTACTTGAGAGCAAAACTTTGAGAGCACTTGCATGGTGGCAGGAAATTTAACTCAACAGTTTGGCTGACAGTGAAGTATTCTTCAGAAAAGAGGCTCCAAGCTGTTCTGTTTGATGCCACGTTCAATATATCTATATATATATATATATTGTTTATCCTCTGTAAAGAATGACTTCTGACCCTCATCACTTACAGTAGTCATGCAAATCTTTGTATTTGTCTGCATGAATCTGTGCTTCAAAGTATCTCTGTGAAGTTCGCATGTTGCTCTCCTTGTGTTCTTACTGTTTATTATTATTTTATTGCCCCTTTGGTGGCTGTGGCAGCTCCACCCTGCTTGTAGTTCGAATACTTTGTATTGTGTTGACCCAGTAATGCGCTATGTTCCATTGCACATGCGCTCCTGCTGCCGCTATAGAGTGTACATCCGTGACACACACACACACACATACGCTCATTCATATTTTCCCGAGACACAGCAGCAATGTGTTCTCCGTCTCTAACGTGATTGCATGTGTAACCTTTGAGCCTCCAGCATCAGTCTTGGAAAAGGCGGCCGGCCGCATGACGCCGCAGCATGGGTGCAGATGAACACGTGCTGGTGTGTGGTGTGCCGTATATAGAAAAACAATTCAAGCTCATGTTGTGATCTACTGTACATGTGATTTTTAAGAGGGATAAAACACGTGTGACAGGGCTGACGCGCTCCCGAAGCTGGCCCATCGCCATGACAATACTGTACAGTCGATGTCTGTCTTTATTATCGATCCCTGCGCTCTGTAGCAATGTGGCGAAGCAGGCAGAAATGATAGTTTTCATTAAGCAGGAAGCTAACAAAACTCTGGATTTTATGCTCTGCCATGAATCAGCTGTCGGGATTTTATTGTTTCATAACATTGGACCGGTGCATCAACCCACAGGCATGGCAAGCACCTCTAACACACAGACACATAGAAGCTGGTGTGAACACAAACATGGCAACTTAAGGATGACTGTGGCTTCAATTTTAGCCTTTGGCCTTGATGGATGCGTTCATATAACTACTCGTCAATCTTCGTCATTTGCGGGGGATTGCTTGAAGTTTTTTTTTTTTTTTTCTGGCAGGATTGCCAGAAGAAAAAAAAAATTACGGCGTTGATTGTGGCACAAAAGAGAAGAGACGAAAATGCATTTGAACTGCTTCTGTGGCATTTTGGGGAAGGGAGCTGTCCACTTGCGTGGTGCTGATCTCTGTGGCAGGACGGGCTTTTGGCCGCTAGAGGGGGTTGTTGAGCTATAGGAACTTTTCTGCTGAGTGCAACTCTTCGTCGCGCGGTTTATTGATATTTTCATCACTCTTGAGCACTCATGGTTTAATTGCTGTGGCATTATACTGCCCCACATTTAACATATCGTTCACTTTTGATTTTATAGTCTAATATTCCTATTTATTTTGCCATATATTTTAATTATACGATTAAAATAAGTGTTTTCCTATATTACATTAGTCTTTTTTAACGGCAACGGTGTGATGAAAACATGGATGGATATGCAGTTCATGGAGACGATCACACGCTGCTTATTTGCTGCAGGAGTATTTGATGTGTTTTTTTTTGTCTCTCTCACAGAGGACAAAGAAAATATGCCACTGAGTATTGTTATATTATCTGCCTACATGTGTTTCTCTACCGATTAGTTTATTAGCAATTACCTATTAGATCATGAGTTATCTTGTGTGTTGCTTTGTTTGTTAGTAAAGGTGCAATGATTAATCGATGAATCCACAATTAATTGAGTATGAATATTTTTGATAATCTATGAATCATTTAAAGTCCTTATTTAACCCTTTCATGCACCCTGTAACCTGATAACATGATAAACCGTCCACTGTAGTAACCGCTGTCCCTGAAAGAGTTAATTTAAAATTGTTTAGAGGCTCTGAAATTCAGCTTCTCGGCAATCAATATTATCCAATTTCTGTAGTCTTCCTTTAAAGCGGAATGATTATCTTTTTGTTGAATCCAAAATATTTCCCTATTTTCTGACATGTTACAGACCAAGCCGGTATCCGAATTATAATTTTTGTTTGTCCGTTTTCTGCACTTTCAATTTGGAATCATGTCCTTTATTTGAATAAAGGCATGAACATTTACACGTTTTTTTCAACCTATGAATAATCATTAAAATAATTGTCATATTAATAGATTTTAAAAGTAATGGCTAATGTGAACCCTATTTGGTAGCATTAAGCGAATCAGACTTCCTTAAGAGAAAGCTCTGAAGTTGGCTGAAACACACAATGTGCAATTCTCTTTGTTTTATGTTTAGTTTGACAGTAAACTTCAACTAGGAATTGCAATAAAGAAAGTGAAAACTCGTTGTTGAAGAATTGTAGGAAAAAAGGACTTGAAAAAGGTACGTGCTAAACTGCTGCCCATTGTGCTGTGATATATTGAGAGATATTTTATTTTCAAACCTTTTATTTTATTTGGGATGTCTTATTTCTCCACATCAAGGCCCCTGCCCCCCCCCTTTTTTATTTTGACCTCATTCTTCTGATTGAATGTCCTTTACTCGTCCTAGTCTGTCCATTGCTCTCCTCAACCTTCATTTGCTCACATTTATTAGGCCGCGCAGGCGCCTATGGAAAGCTGGCAGCAGAGATAAGATACGTTTGGCAAAGTTTGGTGAGTTTCAAGGGGCTGGGAGCCGGGAGGGGAGAGTGGGTGGTGTTTAGTCTTCAAATGATGCCACATGTGCACAAAGCGGCGGCTTCCTCCACCGAGATTGTGCAGTCATTGCTGTGTCGCCGTCTTTTGCTTCTAAAGGTTAGCTTCAGAGCTGTCCCGGAATAACCCGCCGCCATTTTTTTTTCGAGCTCATCAGTAAACAAAGCTTTTAGAACCTCAGGAGATTACTGAGCCCCACCAGGCAGCATGCAAAGCATTTAACCCCTTGTATTTAGTCGAATTCAGCCCATGGGACAAACTGGACTTTCTAAAGCCTCCTTTTTTGTGTTCTCTGCATAAGCCGTCATTGCTATGGATGGAGGCCCGCAGTAAAGGTCACGCATTGTGTCAGCGCTGCAGAATGGTTATTACAGTAAAGGATTAGCATTATCACGGTATGAATGACTTCAGCCCTCGGGCTCACCTCTCTTGTATTTACTGTACATTAAGCCTGCCTTGTCGCCTTGGCTGGCAGGTGGACAGCAGGCTGCTCGCCATCTCGCAATTAACTCACTGCTGCCGTGGCAGTGTTTTTATGGTGCTGCTTTATGCCCCTTTTTATTTATGGGCTGATTTGAAGACTTGATAAATACATATGTGCCAGTGAGGCGGTGATATTGATGGCCAAGCATACTGCTCATTGAAATGACTGCGCTTTAGAATGACAAGATGGATATTTGGAACTGCAGATTTTTTACAAGTGACACTAATCTTCCACACACACACACACACGCATACACACACGCACACGCATACACACACACACACACACACACACACACACACACACACAAGTGTTTTCCTATATTACATTAGTCTTTTTTAACGGCAACGGTGTGATGAAAACATGGATGGATATGCAGTTCATGGAGACGATCACACGCTGCTTATTTGCTGCAGGAGTATTTGATGTGTTTTTTTTTGTCTCTCTCACAGAGGACAAAGAAAATATGCCACTGAGTATTGTTATATTATCTGCCTACATGTGTTTCTCTACCGATTAGTTTATTAGCAATTACCTATTAGATCATGAGTTATCTTGTGTGTTGCTTTGTTTGTTAGTAAAGGTGCAATGATTAATCGATGAATCCACAATTAATTGAGTATGAATATTTTTGATAATCTATGAATCATTTAAAGTCCTTATTTAACCCTTTCATGCACCCTGTAACCTGATAACATGATAAACTGTCCACTGTAGTAACCGCTGTCCCTGAAAGAGTTAATTTAAAATTGTTTAGAGGCTCTGAAATTCAGCTTCTCGGCAATCAATATTATCCAATTTCTGTAGTCTTCCTTTAAAGCGGAATGATTATCTTTTTGTTGAATCCAAAATATTTCCCTATTTTCTGACATGTTACAGACCAAGCCGGTATCCGAATTATAATTTTTGTTTGTCCGTTTTCTGCACTTTCAATTTGGAATCATGTCCTTTATTTGAATAAAGGCATGAACATTTACACGTTTTTTTCAACCTATGAATAATCATTAAAATAATTGTCATATTAATAGATTTTAA